GGTGTGATGACCAACAAAGATGAGATCTCGTATCTGAGGAAAGGCATGACCGGGAGGCCCACGAGGACCCTGATCGAGTTCCTGGTTCGGTTCAGTCAAGACAGTGCCTAGTTCAGATACCGTAAAACTCCTTCATTCCATCTCATGTGGGCAGTTGAGCTTCAAAATATTTTGCAATGAATGAAAATCTTTTAAAGGAAAAAAGGATGGTGTTTTAAAATGTAGAACAAAATGAAATTTCTATGCCTTGATTTGTCTTCTCATTTTTATGCAGAGATTTTAAAATGTAAAGCTAGTATCTTGCTTGGAAAACATTTTTAAGATATCCTATATATGATGATTGAATTTTTAAAAAACTAATCACTTTTCAGAGTATATGTTTTTAATTGAGGAGCAAAATTGTATTTCAGATTTGTGATGCCAGAAACATGAGTTACTATGAAGTTGTCAGAAACAATAAATCCAGCTTTTTGTGCTCCTTGGTGTGGCTCTGGTATTTCCTGATGTATTACTACTGTAAACCCAGTGATGACTGTAACATAACCCATCTTTTGGCTTTGTTATGTGAACTAAGTAAGTTGAGGCACAGGGATAAAGGTATTATCTCAATGTTAATCATCTCTTCAGGGCACTCAGTGGTGAGCTTACCAGTTTATGATGAGGTACTATCATCCCCATATAACATGAGGAAAACAAGGCACCGAGAGTGAACATCCCATTTGTGCAGATTTTGAAGACAGCTTTCCTGTTTTATTTTGGCAGGGGGTGAATCAAATCACCATGAATAGGATGTGTGCCTTTTTTTTTTTTTAAGACTTTGAGACATTTGTCAGGAAAAGCTGTTTATGGAGTTAGAGTCCTTGGGTTACGTCGCCATCTCACATTTATTTATTTTTAAAAAGTTCCAAAAAAAACCAAAACAAAACAACAAAAGCTTTATGCTTTTTATTATTTATTTACCACAAGTAAAGGTCAGGAATTGTTATCTTTCTTTTAAATTTTGTTTACTGCTTCCCTTCCTTATTGCTGTGTATGTGCTCCATGTGCTCCATGTGAGTGACGTAGGTGCTTATGTAGGTGGGTTCCGACTTACGGCGAAAATCCCGTTATAGGAACAGATCTCTGACGTAACCCGAGGACCTACTGTATTTTTAATATTTTAAAAACTTGACATCTAAGATGAAGTTGTGTCTAAACTGGTTTACAGACAGGGAAAGGAAGCCATGCATATTCATGCTGTTAGAGTTAAAACCAGGCAGTAAAGGTCTTCCTCCAGGTATCCCTGTCCAGAAAGGTGGAACTACCAGCTTGTGAAAAGAAACTGAAATCATTTAGATTCCTCTGGGTGACTGAGAAGGCCAGGCAGGGATATGATGGAAAGCTTTCTATCAAAGGCGTTTTAGAAATAAGAGAACAATGGAACCCCTGTGTTTACTCGAGTGTGAGATACCAAAGGCTAGGCACAGCCCTGGGTTCATGTGCTTATCTAATCTGGTTGATGCCCATGCATCCAGCTGCCAGGCATTTCACAGACCCTTGGCTGGTCCTCAGAGCCACGACCGGAGGCAGGTGGTATCTGAGTCGGTTTCAGTGAGGACTAGCTGGGCATGGCTGTGGGGAGCAGCAAACCCAAAGCAGCAGTGGGTTAGAACCATAGTGTTCAAAGGCGGCTGAAAAGGGAATCCAAAACTCAAGCAGCCCCACAGGCTGGAAATGTGCGTCACCACCAGGCCTCAGGCTCCCTCAGTCCCAGGTGGCTGCTGGGACAAGGCTGCATGAAGATGAGGAAGGCGGGGAGCAGGGATGAACGTATTTTAAGGAGCTTTCACTCAAGTCCCACTTAACATGCTTAGATCATCAACCAGAGTAAGTCACGTTACGCCAGGGATTTGGGGAGATGAAGATGAGCTGATGAAGGAAGGGAAACGAGGACAAGAGACTGGCAACTAACAGTCTGTGACACCACTGCGGAGATGAGGAAACTAAATCTAGTGAATTGCTCATGTTTGTGAACTAGAATGTAGAAAAAAGTTAGAACCCAGATCAGTGGATCTGCAAAGCCCAGTATCTGAAACCTTACCCCGTCACTTGGTATGTTGCTTAGTATTGGGCTGGCCACTTCCTTGGCCCTTTCTCTACTGCCCACCATATTCTTGAACTTTGGGCTGGCTACTCCCTCTCGTCACTGAGGAAATGTTGGCCTAAACCAGTGATGGCGAACCTATGACACGCGAACTCATTTTTTTGAACTCATTTTTTTGGTTGATTTTTCTTTGTTAAATGGCATTTAAATATATAAAATAAATATCAAAAATATGTCTTTGTTTTACTATGGTTGCAAATATCAAAAAATTTCTATATGTGACACGGCACCAGAGTTAAGTTAGGGTTTTTCAAAATTCGCCATTACTGGCCTAAACCCTGATACTGTACAAATCACCAAGTCTCTCTGTGTGTGGACTGCCAGTTTACTCTTAGATTACTGCCGGATTACTCCTGCCTCCATTTGCTTACCTCTGCTTCTATACTGAGGAGAGGTTATTTTTAAACAAATTACATCATGTCACTTGTCTTTTCTCACTGGTAATCTATGCAACTCCCTACACACATTATCTCTTCTCAGTAATCTTTCCAAGGTAGTGTTCTCCCATTTTTTTACACGAGGAAACGTGTTTTCAACAAAATCCAAATGTGCTCCATTCTGGGGTGAATCCAAAAGAGGTACCACTAACCATTGAGGCAATTTACTCATGGTTAGGTAAATAATGAGTACAGTCTTTTGAGCCAGACATTCAAGGATTTGCAAAAAAGTAAAATGCTGCCACTCTTATCACTAATTCATTTTTGGTTCTGGAAAATACTTATACTCTAATTAAAATAATATTTATGTTGCCCAGCTGGTGTGACTCAGTGGTTGAGTATTGACCTCTGAACCAAGAGATCAAGGTTCGATTCCCATTCAGGGCACATGCCCAGGTTGTGGGCTCGATCCCCAGTAAGGGGCATGCAAGAGGCAGCCAATCAATGATTCTCTCATCACTGATATTTCTATCTCTCCCTCTCCCTTCCTCTCTGAAATCAATAAAAATATATTTTAAAAAATATTTATGTTAATATGTGATGTTTTTAAATAAAATTTTTAATTCTTAGTTTTAATAGGTAAATATTTTACCAATTCTCAATTTGAATAGGTAAATATTGGCCGACATCATCCATATAAGCAAAAACATTTCGAGTCCCCAATAAAATTTTGGAATGTAAAGAAAAGGATCCTGAGATCCAAAAAGACTGAAAACTGCTGAAGTAGACTGGTTCCCTCCTGGCATTTTATTTTTGTTCATTCAATCAACAAATATTTATTTATGTCTATTTTATGCCAGACACAGTTCTAGGTGTTGGGAATACATGTGAAGATAGGCAGGCCCTGATTTCATGGCGCTTGCATTCCAGTTGGTGTGTGTGTGTGTGTGTGTGTGTGTGTGTGTGTGTACGGCAGCTTAGTCAATGAAGAAGAAAACACACAAGTAATTGCAGATGATGTGTAACGGTAAAGTGTCTGAGAGTGTGGGTCTAAGACTGAGGCTAGGAAGATGACCTCTGACCTGAGGCTGATTGGCAAAGGGAAGCCCCTGTCTCTGACCATTTCTGCCCTGCCTCACTCACTCTGGCCCTGCTGGCTTTTCTGTGATTCCTTCAATATGCCAGGCAGGTTCCTTCTTCAGGGACCCCTCTGTCTAGAAACTTTCCTGGCTGAATTTTGCCAACAGTCCACTTCTCCCTGGAGTAGCCTTTTCCAACCACCTATCTCAAATCCATCACTAGCCATCTCCTGGCCAGGATACATTTTTTGCCTCAGCATTTATCTCTACATGATATATATATATATCTATATCTATATAGATATATATATATATATATATATATATATCTCCCACAAAAACAATAGTAAACTCCACAAGGGCAGAGACTTGGAGTGATCGCTATAACACGCAGATCATCAAATGGTACCTAGGACATGGAGGGCTCAATAAATGTGTTGTATGATCACATATATAACTAAAATTAAACAATAAAAATATATTTACCTTCTGAAAAAATGAATAAACAGCTGTTGAAAGCAGGTTATTAAAATAGTAGCACAGTGACTTTCTCTCTGGTGTCACAATAATGATCTAACGGAACAGTGCCAGGCACATAGATAGGGAACCTCAACAATGTTAGTCATTTTTGTTACCTGTCTCTCTCCCCAGAAGGAACTGTCCTCATTATATCCACGGTGGCTGGATTAGTAGCTGGTGCACAGCAAGCTCTCGGTAAATATTTGTGGAAGGAATGGGTACCTCCAGCTGTTTACAGCAGGTAAACAGAGCCCATAGACCAGTGGTTCTCAACCTGTGGGTCACGACCCCTTTGAGGGTCAAACGACCCTTTCACAGGGGTCGCCTAAGACCATCAGAAAACACATATATAATTACATAGTTTTTGTGATTAATCACTATGCTTTATGTTCAATTTGTAACATGAAAATACATCCTGCATATCAGATATTTACATTACGATTCATAACAGTAGCAAAATTACAGTGATGAAGTAGTAACGAAAATAAATTTATGGTTGGGGGTCACCACAACATGAGGAACTGTATTAAAGGGAACTGCATTAGGGAGGTTGAGAACCACTGCCCTAGACTCTTGGCCAAAGTTACTCCAAGTTTAAGGACAAAGTCCGGCCCCGCCCCGCAGCATCGTGATTCCCGCGGGAGAGCTCAGTCCAACGAACGGATTCTCTTCTCCACAAGCTGTGTCAAATGCGGCCAAAGCCCTCGATTCTCAAGAGAAAAAAAAAAAAAGCCAGACATCCGGCGCCCGGGGAAGGAAGAGGAGACCAACCCGCAACAGCCCGTTTCCCTGACCCAACCAACAACTGCCGGCGCCGGGGACTGCCACGTGATCGGGGGCATCACGTGATTCGCGGCCCAGCTGCTGCGCAGGCGCAATAGGCCTCTTCCGGCCATTTCAGAAATGGCGGCTCCGCTGGGAGGTATGTTCTCCGGTCAGCCACCCGGTGCCCCGCCCCCGCCGCCGGGCCTCCCGGGCCAGGCCTCGCTTCTTCAGGCCGCGCCAGGCGTTCCCAGATCTTCTCCGAGTACCTTGGTGGATGAGTTGGAGTCATCTTTCGAGGTAAAAGGAGCCGTGGGGGCGGGGGGCGTCTATGTTCCCATCCTCCCTCCGTGCCTGAAATGTAAGCTGCGCATGCGCAGGTCATCTCCATCCGCGGTCCCTGCACCCCGCTTACAATCGGGGAGACTGGTTCCGAGACTGTATGTCACTTGCTTTCGCCTCCACAGTGAGTGGGGGCCCGTGTTCCACTCGGGGCAGCTGGCGGAGACGCGCGAACGAGCCGTTTCTGGGGGCACGTGGGCTTGAAGCCTGCCCGTCCCCAACGTCAGGGCCCTTCCAGGTTCCCACCGGCTGGCCCGCCCCGCCCGGTTCCCTCTCCCCTGAGCGCCCTTCCCCGCACCCCGGCGTGTGTGGCACCGGCCCGCCCTCCCGGGGGCGCACCGTTACCCCGCCGCGTCCTGCGCCCTTCCCGCTGGGCTCCACCTCGCAGCGACGCTGCAGTCGTGGGGCCCTTGACCTGAAACGGGCTGATTTTAAAGGTGTGCGGAGCTCGATGCCCGGGTCGGGGAGGCAGGGCAGCTGGGGGTGAAGGAGGGAGGGGCCCCGGCAGAGATGACCCCAAACGGGAGTCGGGCCCAAGGAGTACCCTGGAGCCCCAACTCCAACAGGAGTCCTCATTCAGAATGTCCCACAGGACAGGGGGTCTTTTTCTGATTTACTGAACGGCTACAGGGAATTGCCTGGGGGGATATTGTGATTTTTCTCCGTTAAATCAAATGGTGGCACCTGCAGGCAGAAGGGCCCTCCCATCTCGTCCGTGGCCTCAGTCTGGGCCCAGGTCCACCTGCCTCCTGCCAGGTGCGCGTGCTTCGTGCTGGCGGGGCCCTGCTCTCCTGGGGTTTGGGGGTTCCTTTCTGCCCCTCACCCCCATCCCGTCCTCTTTCTGGCCCCGCGGCGGTGTTAGGCCTCTGAGTGGACAGAACTCCCCGGCTGAGTCACACACACACCTGGATCCTGGTCCCTGTAGGGAGGACTCCCTCTTTGGGGCTTGTTTTCCCCCTGACGCCAACCTGGCTCTTCTCTTGGGCCCTCTAGTGGGTCATTAGCTTGTGGTTTTTTTGTTTTTTTAAAAATACTTTATTGGCTTTTTACAGAGAGGAAGGGGAGAGATAGTTAGAAACATCGATCAGCTGCCTCCTGCACACTCCCTTCTGGGGATGTGCCCACAACCAAGGTACATGCCCTTGGCGGGAATCGAACCTGGGACCCTTCAGTCCGCAGGCCGACGCTCTATCCACTGAGCCAAACTGGTTAGGGCTGGGGCTTGTTTTTCCCCCTGACGCCAACCTGGCTCTTCTCTTGAGCCCTCCAGTGGGTCATTAGCTTGTGTTTATTGAGCACCCACTTCGTGCCGAGCAGAATCCCTGCACATGGTGAACACGGCAGGCAGTTCACTCGTAGGGGGCAGCTAATATGGACTGAAAGCAGGGATGAATGGCCGTGGAAAACAGGACAGCGGGGCTTGGTGATAGAAGAGTAGAGGGAGCGGGCCTGTCCCAGGAGGTGGTGGTTTACCCGAGTCCTGAGTGGGTGGTGCGGGTCCTGTGCGCATCGGAGGGAGCAGCCGTGGGCAGGACTGGAATCGGGTTCCGGGCCCTGGTGTGGAGTGAGAGAGTGGGGAGAGCAGCGCGGGGCAGGAGGGAGACCGGATGGGGTGCCGACCGATTCCAGCCGCCTCCTCCGCTGGCCCTTCCTCCCTGGGCCCAATGGCGTCAGTTTACCACGTGTCTTCATTGGCACAATGTCTTGTCTGGTGTGCGAACCAGATGCTATCAGCTCATTGAATGACTTCAGGAGGAGCCGTATCTTACCCTACAGTAGGGTTTTTGATGTGCAAATGACATTTTTTTTTCTTCTGTGATATGTTTTGGTCACACAGGCTTGCTTTGCTTCTCTGGTGAGTCAGGACTATGTCAATGGCACGGATCAGGAGGAAATCCGAACTGGTGAGCATGCCCTCTTTTTAGACCTGGTCCTGCTGGCTGATTTTACACTTGATGCGTTTCAGTCCTGCTGGTACCCCCAGAGAACTGTTCTGGGGAAGAAGACTTATGCAAATTGCTCGTATACTGCTGGTTCTCTGTTCAGTTTATTAATTGACATCTTGTCATTCATGATGAACCATTCACGATGAACCTTTTCATAGCGGCATGAGGACAAAGACCAATAGTGTGTACTGCTTTTAAAGTAAGTTTTGTTTAGTTTTTGAATAGGTGTAAGTAACAGTCTCTTGTGCTTCCTCCTCGCCCAAGTCCTGTCCTCAGAGGTGACCAGTGGTTCTGGTTTCTTTGTACTAGATTTTACATATTAGGTTTTAACTGGAATCATGCTTCTTGCTGGAACTCTGGATTGTTTTTCTTCAGAAGAAGTGTGCTGTAGTAGGTCTCTTATTCACCTGATAAAAATAAAAATTATCTGCTATTTAATATTGGCTAACACATGGAAGGCTGGGGGTCAGTATCATTGATCTGGCCAAATTTAAAATCCCAGATTACATCTATGAGAAGGTGATGTTTTGATATTCTGACTGTTCATGTATGAGGGAGATTTTTGTGTCGAATATTTTTTTTAATTTAATATTTTGTGTGTTTTTTTAAGGTGTTGATCAGTGTATCCAGAAATTTCTGGACATTGCAAGACAAACAGAATGTTTTTTTCTACAAAAAAGATTGCAGTTATCTGTCCAGAAGCCAGAGCAGGTTATCAAAGAGGTATGAGCTCCGTTATCTCCTCACCTTTCGAAAGAGCACATGTTGTCAGGGTTCCGTCTCTGCTTTAAATGAAAACCCTTTTCCATTAGCTATCGTAGGTCTTTACAGATTGAGGACAAATGTTGCTAGATGTCAGTGTTCATGACAACTTGGACAAGTAGTGGAGGAAAGGGGGTGGGGGAATCAGGGCTTCAAACAGCATTTTCATATGCTGGCTGTCATGGAAGATGTTTCTTAAAGGAAAGGGACTGCTGCTTGAAAAGGTTGAAAAGCCAGTCATGGAACTCACTTTGGACAGGAGCTGTGATCTGTGCATCCCCAGGTGCCCATACACAGGAAGGGCTTCATCCAGCTTTGTCCAAGGAACCCCAAATTAGTGTTCCGGCCCAGGCTCCTCCAAGCTCAGGACTTCATTATCTCAGTCGTGTGAAGCGGGGACATTTGAAGTGTGTTGGGGTTGCCAGGATGACTGAGAGCTGCAGTGGCATTTCCTGTGTTGGGCCAGGACCTGCCCCCTGCAGTGTGGAAGAGGGAAGAATCGTCCGCCCAGACGGCCAGTGGTGCCTCTAATGAGAAACACTAAATTGAGATGAACGATTTGTGGGCAGTGTTTGAAGTAACTACTTCCACAAGCTGACCAATTAAAATATTTTTATTCAGTGATATCCCTGTTGAGAAGGTGAATGATGAGGTGATACTCTCATAGTTCATTACGTCAGATCAGTTCCTGATTTGAATACTTCAGTAGTAACATAGGGGTGTTCAATCGTAGTTGAATAGGTGTAAGTAACAGTCTCCTGTTACTATCTGTATCTCTTGATAAAGAATTACAATGCTGGTATTCACTAAAAAAACTTTTGAAAATGAGCTCTCAACACTTCCTAATATGAAATGTTAGAACAGCGATTGTGGACTCTTTTAAACGGTTGTTACCATGTGTTTCAGATTCTCACTGTCTTTCAGGTTCTCAGCAGTAGCCTTTGGACAGAGATATTGACTCCCTGGGACCAGGGTGGGGAAGAGACTGGTTTCTTTTTGGCTGCTCTTTGATACTTCGGAATATTATAACTTGGGAATTACTTATTAAAAGAAAATGGATTAAGAATAAAAACTCTCCATGTTAGGCAGACATTTGCCATTGGAAGAGTTGCTTTGGGTTATTCAAATAGTGGAGCCAAGCAGAGTAATGATTGGGCGTGGTGTGGTTTAATGGATTTTCTGTTTTGAATTTACTTCTTAGTGCTCTTAATTATTCAGGGACTGCATTTGCTTCTCACGAGGTTGCTCTGACTTCGTCACCTTCACTTGCAGGATGTCTCGGAGCTGCGGAACGAGCTGCAGCGGAAAGACGCCCTGGTCCAGAAGCACCTGACCAAGCTGCGGCATTGGCAGCAGGTGCTGGAGGACATCAACGGGCAGCACAAGAAGCCCGCCGACCTCCCGCAGGGCTCCCTGGCCTACCTCGAGCAGGCGTCTGCCAACATCCCCGCGCCTATGAAGCAGAACTGAGGGAAAGCCGCAGGAAAGGGTCGCTCTCGGTGGCATGACATTTTGGAAGAACTCTGCCAGAGAACGAGACATCTCAGTTGCATGCTCCCACCTAAAATGTTCCTGTTTTTTATAAGCTCTTACTTTATTATTACTTTATAAAATGTGTAGCTTTGGTAAACCAAGGTAAATATTCGTGTTTTTAACAAAATTTAGACTGTTAGTGTGATGCCACTAACATTCCTTTCTATGTTGCTTTTTTCTGCTTGTTTTATTTTTTAAATGTTTGTGTAACTTTTAATCTGTTTGTGTTTTCAGTTTTAGATTAGTTTGTATCATGAGGGAAAAACTGGTCTGATCTGTGAATCAAAGGATGAGGATTTGGGTTGTAGGCCTTTTATCTTAATTAACCCCCAGTGGCAGTAAGGTACAAATATGTAAATTTGCCACGTTTCTAGACTTTGAACTACCTCAAGAAGAGGAATCTAATACAGCAATGTTTGTAATACATCCAGAGCTCTCAGAATGAGATCTTTTGTAAATACTTGGAAGAGGATTGTCATAGCTTAGGTTAGTGCAGTGATATTATAGTAGGATCCTTAAGTTGATGTTGACTTTTATTTGTGGTAAGTTTATATTTTGTGTGATGCTTGCTTTTTTGGGTTGGGAGGCTGCAGGAGGAGCAGTGATATGTAAATTTTGTCACATTGTGCAGTGAAGCATCAGTCTAAATAGCAGACCCGTTCCCACTAGCACGCCTCGGGCAGAGGTGAAGTGTGAGGGTTAGTCTCTTTGTTTTGAGTTTTGTTTGCTTGTGTTGTTTGTGTCTTGCTTTTGTGGAGCAGAAATTTCCCATTAAGGAAGGTTCTTGCTAATGGGTGGTGGTGATTCCAGGGGACAGGGCCTCAGGGTGGGGAGCGGCCTGCAGGTTGACCCTCGGTGACTTCCTCTCCACAGAGAGCATGTGGAGCCTCAGCACTTGGGAAGGTGCTTTACCCTCTCGGTGGTCACACGGGCCAACACGATTATGGAGATGCTGCTGCTGAGAAACACCGCCGGGTGCTGTGTCTGCCTGTCCCTGAACGAGGCTCCTTTCTTGGTTGTTTAGGTCTGGCTAGATTACATCCCCTTACCCCAAACAAGCACCGCTGTCTCCTGAACAGGCACTGCCTCTGGGGCTCGGTATCTTGACTTGTTTTGTTTTCTCCAGCCTTGAAGGCCCCTCCCGTAAGCACTGACATCTGCTCGTGGTGCCTGGATGCTCCCTGAAGCCTCGAAATGCCCTCCCTGCTGCCCCCCGCCCCTCAGGACACAGCACTTCCTGTCTCCTATCAGCCTTGCTTGATCTCCCTCGAGGGTTAGTAATTTGTATGTGTCTCTGTGCCCCTCATGAGAATTAGGCATTATTTTCCTCTGAACATAGAGAGATCATGTATTATCTCTTCTACATAGTACTTGCTACCCATTGTTGTTTGTGCGTGTATGGTATACAGCCTGAGGCCACTTAGTCCCCTCACTGAACATGTGTGAGTTAAAACTTTTTAAAAAATTTTTTTCTCAGATAACATGACTTCAGGGTTGTTAACCTGGCCATCTCATGCTGATTAGAAGCTCTGATTGGCAGCTTTGGATTTCTTCATTAAAAACCAAATTAAACTGATTTAGGCATCTTTCAGTAATAAAGCGGTTCTTGGTGAAAAGTTCAGGAACTGTCCTCCTTGGTGCTTAGTGAAAAGACTTTGAATTAATGTATGTATCAGTTATTGCCATTTTTTATTAAATTCAAAAAATTTCTAGCACATAAATAATTTTTCAATCTTCTCTGTTTGTAAATATCATTTTCCTTTTAATGGCATCTTGCTGGTTGGTTGATGAACATAGAAATCCCTCCTTCAATGAGAAATAAGCCATCAGCTGGGAGTTCCCTTGTCTCCTCACTCCCATGATGATAGAAGCATGCAAAGACTTAGTTAACACATATGTAATGATTGGGTAGGATCTAGAAATTTAACAAATCTTTTTCACTCACCTGCAACAAGAAAGGAGTCCAAACAGATGCAGAGTCTTGAGTACAATCCTGTCCCTGCAGCAGGTGTTAACGCCAAGGTATGGGACAGCAGAATGAAGGGAAGCCTGCTTTGCTAGTCATCAGGAGCTGCAGGGTGGGAAAAGGTTTCAATCAACAAAAGTAGAATTGTGTGCAGTCTTTAAAACAAGATACAAAGTCCTACAATGCTCACTCTGAGCAGGAAGCAAAAGACAACTACAATATATTGATACTGAAAAATAATACGGTACGTTACAGGTATGGTATTTGCAGTTAAAAAATTATCTTATTGGGGCCATGTGATTTGGTAAGATAGTAAATTTACCTTTAAATTAGGAGTTTTGAGATGTAATGCATTTCTCTCAAAAGGACATAAGTATGTAAGAGGCCACTTTTTATTTGAAGATGATCCGATTGAGGTCAATGTGAACTTTCCATTTCCAAGTTCAGTCTTCATCACATTTCACCCTTCTTTTGGAAAATCAATACAAGTTATAACCATTTTTATCGCCCAGTTGTTTAAAGTTTTATTCAAAGAGCAAAGATTTGACAGTGCATAGAATAAACAACTGTTCATGGGCCACCTTGCTGGGCCAGCACCAGAGGATTGAGAATACATTTTGCCCATTAAAAGATGTATTAAGTTTTGTCAAATCACACTACTCCTTCAGAGGGTCCGACAGTTCAGTGTGGGCTGAGCAGGTCAGCACCGTGGATGGCCACTACCTGTCCCCTTTAACCTACCAAGCATCCATGCAACGGGGACGCAATGCATCATGAGGCAAATGGCCCAAACCCAGAGACCAGAGGTTCAGTAGATCTTTGACTTGAAAGGACAGATAATCTAGAAACCTTCACAAATGGCCAAGTTGGCATCGCAGATTGAAACAGAGGTATGACGGGGCGGGGCTCAGTTATTCACAAATCCTGGCAGTGCTTAATTCGAATTCGTGATCGGGATCACTGCCATATTATGTTGCTTAATCCTCATAAAGCCCCATTTTGAGGTAGGTGTTATCCCCTCTATTAGCTACTTCACGTCCAGAATTAGGAAATCCAAGTGTCAAGGTCTGTGGCTGTTCAGTCCTAGTAGCTCCGATTTGCTTGTTTTGTGTTTTAATTGGCTTTCCTGGTTATTCGGAACTTTGTTTTATTCCTCTTCTTAATGAGGTTAGATGTGCATCTTAAATTATATCACTTACATAGAAACACTTTTCAAGTGGATTTGAGTTGCATCCTCGGAAATGAAATCCCTTTAAAAGTAGACCTCGGAAACCACAAAGCGGAGCGCAAGCTATGGACATGAAATACTACAGGCAGGTCATCAGTAACATTAACATTTTCCTATGATGTTCTCGGGTAACACGGGTTCCTTTTACCCTAACGTCAAGGATCTTTAATGAACCGGTGCCACAATGAAACAGTATGAAATGTCAGTGCCGAAATTTGTTTAGCTATTGGGTGCAAATCATATTACAAAGCAGGTTATTTGGTTGATTGATTTTTTAGTTCATTCCCTCAGTCAGATGTTTTAAAAGAAAATTTTTTTCAAATGTCCTTTCTGTGATGGATCCCAAGGATCACTTTAGAAAGAAAAGTACTTGGTGAACCATTCCTGGTGGGCAGAGCCCTGTTTCTGCTGGACTTCTTTGGGTTGGGCTGTTTCACCATCTTGTGTCCTAAACAAAAAACAACAAAAAGGATTAGATGGTTTTGCGGTTTTGAAAATTACTCAGAAAACATCTTAATACCCCACCATCATTTCAGGGGAAGATAACTGCTTCTTTGCTCTTCAAAAAGTGCTGGAACATGACTGTCCAACATTAGCATCTGGAAACCAGCTGTGAAGGGAATGTCTAATTCCAGATTTGAAAACCAAAGGTTCTCCATTGTTTCACTTAAGATCATGAGGCATATTTGCAACATTTATTCCAGGCACAAATCTACATATATAAAACCCTACTATACAAATAGATTGAACAGTGGAACAACCGAACAATCAAACAACTGAACAACCAGTCGCTATGATGTGTGCTGACCACCAGGGGGCGCACACAGAACATGGTGGGCAGCAGCAGGCAGCAGAGCGTGGAACATGGTGGGCGTTGGCTGCGGCGTGATGGTGGAGCAGGTGAGCGGAAGGCCAGACCAAGGCGGAGCACCGGTCGCTGTCATCAGAGTGAGCCTCTGGTGGTTACTGAAAATTCTTTGCTTCCACGTGCCATGGTCCCACCCAGTGCTCGCACCCACTGCCAGCGCCGGCCCCACTTGCACCCACAGCCAGCACTGAAGCTGCCACTCGTACCCGCTGCCGGCGCCCTGCACCGGTCCCAATCACTCAGTGCCATCAGCAGGTGCGAGCAGTGGCTACCTGCCCCGATCGCCCCTGAGGGCTTCTACACCTCCCCCTGCTCCTGAGGGGTGATTGGGGTCAGTAGCCGCTGCTCACACCCGCTGTTGGCATCAGCCCCCAATGGGCTCCGCACCATCCGCGGGTGCAAGCGGGGCCAGCACTGTCAGCACGTGGGAGCGGTGGCAGCACTGTCAGCACATGGGAGCGGTGGCAGCAGGAGGAGGGCTGCCGGCAGATGGGACCGGGGGCCGCGGCGCAGGAGGGGCCGGGCAGGGGTGCGGAGGATGGGCCGAGACCCACCCCTGTGCCCAATGCAGCCTCGCAGCCCATAGTTCCTTTCAAGGTGCATGAATTTGTGCACTGGGCCCCTAGTTAATAAATAACCCCTCCCCCCCCCCAAAAAAAAACAAACGGTAAAAGAGGAGCATTTGAGATCTTGCTCCCTAGCATATGTTGTCAGTTTGGTTCAAATACACCCATAAAAATTCTCTACAGGAACAAAAGAAAAAGAAGAAAGAAATGGTTGATCAACACAGCATGATAATTTATGGCTTCTTTAAAAGTTATCTACTGTGTTCCAACATCACAATGAGGCTGTGAAATTAGCCTCATAAATTGAAAAGGGGAAATAGCAAGCAAGTATGGTGTATACTGGATGAATGGTCTCTATCTGCAATTTTGGAACTTCATATACAGCAACTAGAGCCCTGGTGCACAAATTCGTGCACATTGAAAGGAAATTAATTAGAAGAAATATTTTAATATTGCTATTCGCCCTTTCTCTATAATAGACATGTCAACCAAATTCACAATCGACAATGACAGATGGAAACGCATGTGATTGGCACTGACATATATATATATGTGTGTATGTATATAGATAGATAGATAGATAGATAAACTTGCTTAATTAGACCTGCTTTCTGGTTTAGCTAATAAACTCTTTCCAGCCCAGTGAAGCACCCCAACTTCTCTTTCAGGTAATTGTCAGCAACACAGCAGTAAATATCAACATGAAGCAGATTATTATTGTAGATCAAGCAGGGAGAAAAAAAGGATGAAATATTTAACTGCAGCAGTGTTTGACTATATTCTGCGCAGTGAGAAAACTTGAAGTTATTTTCAAGGTCCACCATTTCTTACTTCTTTTCAGTCAGGTCAAGTTTCTAAGCTTTCTAAATCTCTGTTTTCCAGCTAATGAAAAAAAAAAAAAAAAAAAGGATTCCACCAAGTCTCCTATCTACCTACTCCAGGAGTTCTGTGAGGATCAAATGAGATGAGGCACTGGAAAATGCTTCATACACATTTGGTTAAAGTGTAAAATGTTTGCACCTGGCTATAAAGCAAGTCGTGTTCCTGGGCTGAAGAAACTCCAAGGAGGCTAGTCACTAGGGAGAAAAAGCCAGGCGCTATGTGATGTCATTACTCAGTGCCCATAGCGACTGTTCCCAGGCTGGGCTGGGCTGTGGGCCACATTTTGCGCCCTGGGGTCTCAGCAGCATCGGCTGTGATTTGGTGGGCTGTCCCTCCAGGGTGTGGCGGGGCCTGTGTCCCACTTGGGAGAAGCTGAGTGTTGCTTTGTGGGCACCAGGTCCATGGTGCTGTTTCTCTGTAAATGGCAGTTCTTGCATTGAGTGTCTGCCCCCTGGTGGTCAGTACATGTCATAGCGACTGGTCGGACAGTCGGACACTTAACACATTAGCTTTTTATATATATACTAGAGGCCCGGTGCACAAAATTTGTGCACTCTGGGGGGGGGGGGGGGCGTCCTTCAGCCTGGCCCGTGCCCTCTCACAGTCCGGGAGCTTTCGGGGATGTCTGACTGACGGCTTAGGCCTGATATCTGTGGGGAGTGGGCCTAAGCTGTCAGCCAGATATCCTTAGTGCTGCCGTGGAAGCAGGAGAGGCTCCCACTACTGCCGCTGTGCTTGCCAGCTGTGAGCTGGGCTTCTGGCTGAGCGGCGCTCCCCCTGTGGGAGCACACTGACCACCAGGAGGCAGCTCCTGCATTGAGCGTCTGACCCGTCATGGTCAGTGTGTGTCATAGCGACCGGTTGTTCTGCCGTTCGGCCGATTTGCATATTAGCCTTTTATTACATAGATAGATGGGAAGATAGACTTAAGCAGAGGTATACAAGTACGAGATGAACCTGGGAGCTGGCTCTAGCAGTTAATACAGGGATGTGCTGGGGGCTCCAGGCCTCAGGTTCCTTAGCTGTGAAACAAAGGGCTGGCCTCATTCAATGACTGACCACCAGCAGGTCCTTGCAGTCCAACACTCATCGAGATGTATGCCGCCGCATTTGCCCAAACAGCCACGGGTAGGCAGGGCCTTAGGAAAAGGAACATTTTAGGAGTGGCCCTTTCTGAAATGCAAACTTCAAAGCTCAGAATTAAAAATTTTGCCTCTGAATGGATTCAATGCCTCTTGTCTAACTATGAAAAAAAAGGTGTGTGTTGGGGGGGGGGTGACCTGGAATGTGGTACCAGAAATAGTCCCTCTTCTAAAGAATGGCACATTCTCTGCCCTTACACAATCTTCCACTTGGCGGGACTGCCATTTTCCCAGGCAGGGCTTGACCTGCTGCTCTTTGTATCTGTCCCAGTGCCGGGTATTGCACAGGTGCCAGAACGGAATTCCAGTTTTCCTCCTATTCCGGGAAAACGGGATCACAGCGCCTGCCCCTACCTGGTGGCCGCTTTCACGTCTAGAGACGGGGTGGGCTTGTAAGGCCGGCCACCCCCGGGGCTTGGGTCCAAGCTGGGGGACTTAGTGATTGGCGGGGCGTTGATCCTGGAGCTCAGGTCACCGCTCAGAAAGTTCTTTGCGTAGGAGGCGAGGTTGGGCACGCTGACCACTCGGCTGGGCGAGTCCTCCATCTTCTTTTTCTGTTTGTGTTAAAGGACAGGCCTCTTAGCGTCGCCCCAAAGAGGTATTATTATAAGAGTCAGTAAGACCCACCCAACCGAATCCGTGCCCGTGAGGAGCAGTGCTTTTATTTACGAACTTCCATATTATTTTTCAAAGCATTTTCCCCTCTAACCTATTTTGTGTTTTAAAAAAACACACGTCCACAATCTCTTATCTGAAATTCCTGGGGACAGATATGTTTTGTAATTCAAAGACCTTTGTTTAGATTTTAAAAGGCCATATAACACCCCCAGCTGGGGCTGGACCCATCTTGTCCTCAAACGCACGACTATTTCTGAAGTGAAACTTACATTTTGTCACAGTAAGAAGGATATGTAAAAATCATAAGTGATCTTATATCAGGTCAGCTGATATTAGATTTATTGTTCTGTGAGCCATTAAAAAATACGACTTTTTTTTGAGCTTTTAGGATTTGTGATAGCAAATGAGAGATTTGGTGAATATTTTTATTGTAACAAATTCCATAAGTATATAAGGAAAAAAATGTTAAGAAGTGGAAGATTCCTGCTCTTCTCACCCTTCTTCCTACCACCAATTACTGTTAAAGCCACTATTAATAGTGACACATTTATTTACAGAAAATTTGGAAAAGACAAAAAAAAAACACCCATAAAAAATAAAAATACACATCATCTTCCTAGCCAGACATAAACACTGTTTAAGCATTTGGGTTATTTTCTGTGGGTCCTAGTGAGTCTTCTTTTGACCGTCTCCCAGCCATTGGTAAGTACGCTGCAGGTGCCTTAGAAAAATGAAACCAGCCGATCGTGCAATGTACCTAAACCAGCAGAACCGACCTACCTTCATGGAAGGGGTCAAATACCCTGGGTGAGGGTTGAAAGAGAAGGACCGATTCCGGTGGGACATTGCGCTGGGGAATGCTGCGTAGTGAAATCTCCTCTCCTCCTGGAAAAATAGCACAACTGCGTCTAAATGAGCCTAACCACAGGGCACTGGGAGGCTGTGTGAGGATAGAAGACAGAGAGAAGGAAAGTCCTGGGGGGTGGAGTGGGGGAAGCCAGGGGAACCAAGATGCCATCCAGGGAGCTGTGAGGAAGCGCCTTTACTCCTGGGGTCTTTGTGTCCCGGCCCCTCTTGTAAAGCAATGGGCCAGCTTATTGGGAATGCCTTAGGGCAGTTAGAGACCCAAGTGCTATCAGCATCTGAGAAGAGCACTGCAGGAAGTTAACAATTCAAGTGCAGAAAGTCAATGAGGAGGCAAAGCAAGCAGACTCCCAGGCACAATCCCTATCTGGCTAATGTTGTTAATGTGTGCCACTTTTCTTTCCTTCTGTATTATCCTATCTAATAATAGAGAAAAATGGTAATTAGCCGTACCTCCGCTACCCTTCCCATTAGCTAATCAGGGTGATATGCAAATTAACTGCCAGCCAAGATGGCGGCCGGCAGCCAGGCAGCTAGAAGCGAACAGGAGGCTTGCTTGCTCCAGTGATGGAGGAAGCCAACATTCCCCGCCTGCGGCTGCCGGCCTCTGAGCTTGCAGTTTGAAACATTGTTACAAATATAGAAGCTAAACAAAACCCCAGAAACCTGCTTTCAGCCAGCCAGGATCTCAGAGCTGGAGTTGAAACAGTGTTTCAATTATAGAACCCAAACAAACCAGATACCTGCTTTCAGCAGCCGAGGCCTCAGAGCTGGAGCCAAGCCTCAGAGCTAAAGCTGGCCCAGAATAAAAAAAAAAAAAAAAGAAAAAAAGGAGCAGTTGGGAGCTTCAGTCACCCGCCAGCCTGAAAACAGCCCTCAGCCCCTCACCCAGACTGGCCAGGCACCCCAGTGGGGACCCCCACCCTGATCCAGGACACCCTTCAGGGCAAACCAGCCAGCCCCCACCCGTGCACCAGGCCTCTATCCTATATAGTAAAAGGGTAATATGCCTCCCAGCACCGGGATCAGCGGAGTCGCGAGGCCTCCTGGCACTGGGATCAGCGTGACAGGGGGCAGTGCCCAAACCTCCTGATCGCCCTGCGGCTCTGTGTATGACAGGGGGCGGGGCCACAACCTCCCTATCCGCCCTGCTCTGTGTGTGACAGGGTGCGGCAACCCC